GACTGCGCTTGTCGACAGAAAGCTCCCCCTCCCTCTCTTCTTCTGCCCTCTTTATCACCAGATAACTTATGTAAAGTAGCAGATGAAACCCATTCCCATTTATGTCGGCCTGATTGTCAGAATAAGCTTGCATTCCTTTGAAAAGTGATTGACCGCCTGAAAGGGTACAAATTAGGGCCCTGTTCATCTTTTCTTCTCCGGTCGTGGGGTTTATTTGTGGCAGATTCAACCAGGCCCAAAATTAAGTGAACTCAGGCAGGGATGAATGGGAGAGCTCTGATTGAATAATTGATTTCCTTTGTGCGGCCTGTGTTTAAGAGGGATAACTAGACATCCTTTGGAGTGTAATGATTGTAATTACTGCGATGACTGGTCATGTCAAATATGACACAGGAAAGGACTGTTATTAACCTTTATTCTCCACATAGAAAAAACCAACCCAATATCCTCTTGTCTCTTCCATCTGCATATGGGTTTCACCTCTGGTGGAGGCATGGCTGCTGTAGGTTGAATGCATGGATGAACTCATTCCCTGTCTTCTACTCCTGGCCCATGAAAGGTAGATGGGTAATTGACTGTGCAGTCAAAGTCAGTGGTGTGTCAATGACTCACACAGCTAGTGAGCCTTGGGGTAACTCTCAAAGTACAATGCATTATGGCTCCAGAATTTAAGTGTAAAAGATAGGAGTTATAGCCATGTTCATGATATCTGTCACATTCTCATATGCCTTGACCTCTCAGGCAGTGCAGCCTGAATTGTGCTTTAACGCTCTCGACACATCCGAGGGTCTCAGTGAAACAGACATTCATCACACAGTGATCAGACACAGTCTGCTGAAGTTATTGGACATGTGGTCCATATGAATTAAATACATCACCAGTGATCTAGTGTTGTGTCCAAGCATTGAGGTCTAAAGCCCAGGCTTTAAAGTTGCATATGCAGACTGGTTGTAACTGCTTCAAGCTACAGTAGCAGAAGATCTGATGTAAACATTTACACTATATTTGTCCTCTCTACAATTCAATAATGTATGTAGAACCTAATCCAGGTTTTGGCCACTTACAGCCTGAGGAACAAGCTGTAAACACAACACTGGTATATTATCACCTAATTACACCGAAACTGTAAGCAAATAGTTACAAAGTTTACCTATTGTCACATTTAACAGACATGGAACAACATTAGCATTCAACTGGCATCAGTTGGAGATGTTTCTGACAACATGTCAAATATAGTATAGGTCCAACATTAGCTCTCCTTTTAGCTTGTATTTCTAATGAACTGGCTCTTTAGTTCCTAAATGTTCCCATAATATATTTTTACCAGCTAGCTGCTAACTTTGTCAACCTGCCCTTTAGTGATGAGCAGGCTGCACATGGTCAGCACTGAAAAGTTTTAATCCCAGTATAAGTGTAAAAATATTAACAATGTTCTTTTTAAGATTTAGTAATGATGTCAAACTTGTTTTGGAGCTGCTCCCTGGACAGTGAATAACTGAACAGCAGCAAGGCCACTGTGAAGCCCTGATGGCGAGTTCACTGGGATATCTAGACATTTTATAATTCACAGGTGTAAGGCCTACAGTGCAATCAAATAAAAGTCATTTGTATGTAAAATCTCAAACATTCGGAATGAATTAGTTCCTACATACAGTGGACCGACTTTGAGATGTAAAAACAGTTATCAGTTATTGCCCTTTTCTGCTTCAAATCTTAGTATCAGTCTATAGCTATCGTATTTGGCCCATCCACCACATGATTAACAAACCCATCCATCTCTACAGACATTGGAGTCTCTAGTTCTGAACCTGCTGCCAGAAATCCCATGCCTCGTCCTTCTGTTGAACCTCTGGAGTGAGTGGTGCCAGCCTTGCCAGCTGTGGAGACAACTGAAAAACTTCATTTGCAACTTCATTTGAAGCCTTTAATTAGGTACCACATGTGCTACAGGGGGAGTGTGGCCAGTGAGGATCAGACAGATGGCAACAGGGAAACAGTAATGCATTCTCCACATGACCCAAGTGAAGCATGTCATATTGATATCTATTTCAAATAGTTCATATTAAAGAACTGAAAGCATTATTTTTAGCCACATTAACAGCATGGCTGTAGGGATGGCGATGTCAGCCTGTCTCTGTCTGTCAGACAGTTGGTCCATCACTTTGGTCCAGAGGTTTTCTGACTGTGCGCAGAAGCACAGACATGAGACAAAATGATTGCATCAGGTGAAAGGGGCAGGTGCATGCCAGTGTTCCCGAAAGCAATGAGAAGTCAGTTGCTGTAGCTTGGCTTGCTGATTCGGTTCACCCACTTAGCCAACACGGTCCACAGTAACAGCAGTGGCTGTGATACACAGCTCACAGAGGCAATAGACCTTTTCCACTGCAGACATTTTGCCTTGTCATAAAAGAAACAAACAGATGAAACAAATTTGTGTTACCTATGGCAAAGTTCCATTAAGCGTCCAAGAAAGCAATGCCGGAACCCTGGAACTGGCTCGCCTACATAGAATAAAGTCATTTTCATTATTATCAGTTACACCTGTGCTATGCTATGGCACACTAAAAAGACTGCTGAGAAAAAGATGAGTTAAAGCTACAGTATGTGTCTTGATTCACATATTTTGGTGGTAGAAATCTGCCTCAAAACATGTGAAGAGGTGCTATTGAAGCCTACTGAACAGTGTGGGCAGCAGTGCAGAGATATTAGCTTCTAAAAGGTTTTGAGCAGGACTGACCTCTCTAACAAATCAGAGACTTTCAGTTATTTCTGCTTGATCAGCAAGTTTTGTTGCATTCTCATATATTGTAATTTCATAATGACAAATATCTGAAGAGCTGGACAGAGTGTGGTGGAACATAATAGAGCATAGTGGAGCAGGGAGAGGGAGTGGTGGACCGAGCAGAGTGGATTGATTTGGAGCTTCATGCTACCACTAGCTTAAATTACATACTGTAGCTTTAAGGTACTTGTAACTAAACAAATGCATTTGTGATACCAATAGCCTCAATGTCACAAACAGCAAGAGCTAAATCAAAACATTCTAAATATCATAATTGTATCTGGAGATTGCTTTACTTAGACTGACTGAAGTGATTTTCTGTCTTACTGTAGCTTCAGTGTGCAATTTGTAAAGAAGCCCAGGCTGATGATAGCGTGTGACTTGCATTTCAAGAAGAGAGTGTTAGCAAGGTGAAGGACCAAGGCCTCGTACTGAATGCACTGTAAAAGCAGGAAGTGCCTGTTCCAATTGTAAGTCCCATGAGACTGTAGATTAAGACACACATTTAGTCTGGAGTTGGTTGTGACTGTGCCATCCTGCTATTTGTGTTCCTTAATGACTTTCTAATTCCTCATCAGAGGGTAGGTAGGCACCACAGCAGGCAGACAGAGAGCAGTGGCATGGTGCCATCCAGGAACAGGTGCTCTTCCATGTTGTGCTTATGATGGCCATAGGCCTCAATTACATCCTTTAGGCTGATCTTAAATTGAGAGTATTTCAGAGAGTTCAGGGCATTTCAGATGAACTTTTTGTGCTTACACACTTGAGTGCTTGACTTCAACTTCAGTGTCATTTGTGGCTACTGCTAACTTGGTTAGGTTTGTTAGTGGCAAAGTGAGCAGAGAAGAAATTAGCTACATTTACCTGCTTCCAGTAACTATATGAATAGATAGAGAGTGCAGCACAGAAGGTTAAGGGCTTATGTGATGTTGTTAAGGTTAAAAACAATATTCTACATCTGTGTTTGTGTTTTGTGTTGAGATTTCCCTCCATAATGTTTGACATAACTATAGTGACTTTACAGTAACAATACATATTAGAACATTTTCTTCAGAAAGCAAACATTTATCAGTGAAACTAAGTCTCCCTCTTTATGTCTGAAACTTGAGCCAGGTCATGGCAAAATTATGTAGTTGAATGACACCAGAACAAACAAACTGACAAGCCTCTTGAATGAGAGATGAAACGTCTTTGACCTAAAAACCTAGTCCAGTTGAAGTTTTTTAAGCTTACTATGACCTGGATGACTGAGAATCTGCACGAACAACATATCCATGTTCCATCAAATCTGCACACCTGAGTTTACCAAAATGTAAATCTGACAACTCTTATTCAAAACATGCTGGACCAAGTTTTTTTTTATTTTTGATGCTTTATTTATAAAGAAGATACATTTTGACAAGTTTTCCATCAGAGGTGATTACATTCCTCAAATCAGCCCTGACCCACACAAATATTGCAACACAATACAGTCGCATAGTCTCAATGTTTACAATTTTATTTGCAGACAATACACAGTGCAATGCTGAATAAACACACAGTAAGCAAACAAAAGAATAAAAAAAGAAAAGAGAAAGAGAGAAAATTCATCTGTTACAAGTAGGGCAGGGTTATGCCTGGCTCAGAGTAGATGATTTAAACTCCTTAACACCCCACCTGAGAGTCGTAGGGTGTTGGGTTTAGACCTAGGGGATCAGGAGTTAGGGTTAGGGGGCTTCAGGTTGATAAATCAGTAAGTGACAGTCAATCAGTTTCACCTGCTGTAAGAGAAACAAAGTGATACAGTGATGTTAAGACCTAGAAGTTCATGATACAGTAAGTAACACATCTTTTCTCAAAAGATCACACACTGGTGCCTCAGGGCATGTGCCTGTGAGCCGGCTGATGTTCTCACCACAATCTTCAATCTCTCCCTCAGCCAGAGCATCGCTCCCACCTGCTTTAAGACCACAACCATCGTCCCCCTTCCCAAGAAGAGCCCAGCCACCTGCCTGAACGACTACAGGCCAGTGGCACTCACCCCAATTATTATGAAGCATTTTGAGAGAGTGGTGCTGGCCTGCATTCAGAGCAGTATACCGGGCACCCTGGACCCCCTGCAATATGCCTACTGGCCCAACAAGGTCACCTCAGACGCCATCGCGGCTCCCCTCCACTATTCCCTTTCTCACCTGGAAAATGGAGACTCCTA